GCGAAGGACGCGGGTCGGGAGTTCATTGTCGTCCTCGAACATCGCGCACGCCAGGTGAAGCGGGTCGAGGTAGCCGTTGGCGTTACCGCGGGCGAGCGCGGCGGTGCGCATCAACATCCTCGACGCGGCCTGCGTCCATTTCTCTTGAGCCTCCTCGGATGCCATAAGCTCGGGTGGAAGTGTGTGCTTTTCTTCCGCTGTGGGGTTCGATTGCCTGGAAAAAGGTTGGGGATCTACGGCACACGAATACACTCAGAGGTTGCGAGGAAATGCGGTGCAAAAGAAATTCGGGTGATAAATATAGTTATAGAGGTTTATAATAATAATAATAATAGACACTTAATAATAATAATAATAATACTTTAATAATAATAGTAGCAAGTTTTGTAAAAAACTTGAATAAGATATAATAATTTTTTTTGGTGAAATTAGATGTAATAATATAAATAGGTGTGAGATTTTGAAGATTTTTGAATTCTTTTAGCTGAAGAACTGTAAGTCAAAAAAAAATCCGTATAAAAGGTTAAAAAGGGAAAAAATAAATGTGGAGTTGAAAATAATACCATGAATGATGTGATTTGATTCATATTATTTAGATTTCATAACGTGGTATCATTTTTTGGAGGGAAAAAAAAAGAGAAAACAAGCAGTCATTAGTATAAAAGGTTTAAGAAAAACACTGTAAAGAATAAAATTTATGAAAACTCAATGGTCAACCTATGACTCTCATTCCATGACATTGTATAAAATTAATTAAGTAAAAAAATATCCAACTTTAATTTGTATAAGCGAAGTCGCCACTTACACATCGCCAGATGTGATCATAGATAACAGCAGTGGACTTCCCATGCTATCGATCCCGAAGCTTTTTCACTCAACAATGCTTCATTGTTTCCAATTAGTTATAGAATTGATGTAGGATGCAATTCACTCCCATTCTAGGTCATCCGGGAGGACCAGAACTCGTTTGGAGGTGAGCGTGGAGATGCACAGAAAAGTCGCGCGACTGACAACGAAAATGCTCACCGTCAGTGGCGAAAGCTAAAGAAGGGCCTGAAAGTAAGCAATAGTTAGTATCGGTTGGTCTAACAAGTGTACAAAATAAGCCTGGACAATAATGGATGCAAGGCTCAAAATTGTTAGCTTTTTTGACGCAATTGTGTTCGGATCTCGAAACAAAAGGAGGATTATCACGTGGTGATTCAATGTTTCCTGGTATGGGAAGAACGGGCTCTGGATACCGTTCTGTCAGAGTAGGACTCAATGAAAAACTTCCCATCAAACTGCGCAACAGATATTTGGGAAAGTATCTTTTGGAGATGTTACCCTCCCCCCCCCTCTACACATACACACATTCACAAAGAAGAAAAACGACAATGTTTCTGAAGAAAACGTAAAGACTTCTACTATTTAAAGAATTTCAGTGTGAATTTTTGAAATGATAAATTCTATAGAATAATATCAATCTTTTTGATGGATTCAAACGCCAAAACTCTGTGAAAAAAGGAAAGGAAAAAAAGGAAATTGTTAAGCTGACTCTCTCTAACTATCATAATGACAATAATCAGACGAATTAAATGAATTGTCGGTATACCTTTTTCTAGGCTGCCAAACATCGTCGTTCCTCATTTTAGACAGTATAATTACTCTTAGCTCTTTCCATTTACCGATATTAGATTTGTATAATTATTATGGAGCACTATTCCGTGCGATTTTTACTGTTGAATTATCCATTTTGATGATGAAATCGAAAATGCGGAACAGCTGTGCTCAATATGTATATACAACATGAGAGTGTATATATACATGCATAAATGCATGTGAATGTATTTCAGATTTTAAAAACTCAAATGTAACAATATGAAAGTGATTTATACTTCACTGAATCCGAAAGGAAAATGGAAAAGAACCTGAAGAGCTTAAGACGATTATTATTTATTGATTTAATAATAATAATTGTAATAATAAAAGTTTAGGTAAATTTAGAATTATATTGCAGGCCGAACGATGATTTTTTCCAGAAACTCAAATTTATCCTGCTTAAAAGGTCAACCCACCACTCGGTAGTTACGAATGCCCTTTTTTTACGAGAACATTTTGGAAAACATCCGCTTTTCCTGAGCCTTCTGCGCGCTAAGGCTCTTCTTGGCTTGCGTGAGCTCCGCAACGACGGCAGGATCGTCCTTACTGAACTCCCGCGCCATCTCGAGATCCTTCAACGCGGCCTCAAAGTCCTTCATCGACCGGTACGCCTGGCCGCGACGAAACAACGCCTTGGGGTGATTCGGGGACAGCTCCAGCGCGCTGGTGCAGTTGTTGACCACATTCCTCCACAGGCTAAGCTTTACGCTGCACGAGGCAATATTGAGGTGACAGGATAGGGAAATTTCATCTTTTTTGGATTTGTTTTCCTCACTGCTGGTGTCGTAAAGCTGGCCTAAAATAGCTAAAGCCTGCACGAAACGCGTTTGGGCCTCTTGCCAGCACTCTTGCTTGAAAAGGCTCTGCCCTTGCTCCCGACGCTTTTGCGCCACGCGAAGGCGTTGGGGGTCGCTTTTCAGTTCTGTCTCTTCCTCCCTCTGCTGCTGACTAAGTTTGATGAGTTCTTCCTCCTTCTTCTTTGCCTCTACACGGACCTTTTCATGATATTTGGCAATTTCCGTGTGTTTCTCCTCGATGTGCCCCTTGACTTCAGTCAGCTTAGCTAGAATAGTATCCTTATCATCATCATTGCACTCGGCTCGAACGTATTCATCGATATTGTACAAATACGATCGCGCGGCATCCTTGGTGGCATTGTCGGCCTCAGAGTGTTCAACCGTATCGAGGGTCTGCAAAACGTACGTATCCAGTTGGTTTATGGCGTCGAGACGTTCGTGGATCACGGCATCGGTGGCGGAGAGCTTCGCCTCAATAATGGCCCACTGCCCCACCGCCACTTCGTCCGCGGAGGAAAGTGGCTCCAGGTCACTTTCTTGTGAAAAGTTCAAAAGATTGACGTCATGAACGGGATTCCGATCACTGGCCGGTACCACAACAGCCTCTTTGTTGTCATCACCTTGCTTCGGTTCACCCGCTTCCTCATTGTCCGTATTTTCACATTTTTCAGTCACTGAAGCCGAGGAAGCAGCAGAGTGGGAGCGCAACTCTGCGAGGATCGCACTCCCTTCAGCTATTGCCATCACTGCATCCAGGGACACACCTAAACGCGAAACCCCCAGTTGCTGTCTAATAAGATCTGATATGTATGGAAAGCGCCAGCCTCCGCCAATAACCTCAACTCGCGGCCCTACAACCGTATCCGGCTTATTTTCCTCATCTGCCTGCGCAGAGATTGACATGATTTTCTTTGCTTCCTGAAGCATATTCTTGAGGTCTTTGGTGAATGGTATAGCGCATTGCTCCACAAAGGAGCGACTTATGGGTAGCACAAAATCAATATCGTCCTTTAATCCCTCTAGCTGTATTTTGGTTTCATCGATTGTCGATAGGGTTTCCTTCACTTTCTTGCATTCACGTAAGATTCTTCGGCACATCTTAGGGTCACCAGAAAACAGGCATTGAGGATGTTTCTTTTCGATTTCATTAACAATATATTCGCACAGCGCTGCATCAATAAAGCTGCTCCCTATGTTAATCGAGTGCATGCCGAGCTTCTTTATTGTATGTTTGGTCACAGACAACACACATACGCTTGCACCAGCGTGGCCCACATCGACAATGTCGACGAGGGAAGGGATTTCTTCATCCAGGTTGCCATATTGCATGTGATGAAAATAGATGGCGATTGCCTCGTCTCTTGGGGCGAAGATGGTCAGTGGCTTCGGGATTCCGGCTAGGAGACAAGCCTGACGGAGTGCAACCATCCCTGGCGCTGATAGTGCTGGCGGTACCGAGAAGCAAACCGGATATTGGCCCGCGTAGCCGCCAGGGGCAAACCCGAGGATGGATTTAATGTAATGGCCCGCCACCTGCGCCGGGTGGAACTCGGTTTCTCCGATAGTTCGCCTGGAAATATTTCCCCCCGAACCCTCGGTTGTGCACTCCGAATCGCACGTGTTGTTAGGTGTGTCTTCTGCGCTGTATGCAAAAACCCACTGCGCAAGATCCACAACCGTTTCCTTCACTCTTGTGATCTGTTTGGAGGCGGCTGCCTCACCAATACAACGCGCTTCGTTAACGGGATAAGAAACTATCGTGCTGGTTGTCTCGTTGCTGAGATCATTGCGGATGATAATGGGCATCGGCTTGACAGGGTCAAGTAAGGCAATGCGTGACGTACAAGCTCCAAAGTCTACACCCAAAAACATGCACTTTTCCGGTCTTTGTAACATTGGCTTAGTAATAAAGAGTGTGTGTTAAATATATATATATATCAAAGAGTTCTACTGTGATTGAAGGGAAATTTTTATAAGTAAATCTAGATTGAGGTTAAAAATCGCTAATGCAAAGAATATGCCATATAAATACACAACTCATTGAATGTATACATACATACATATATCGCTATCTATATATCATTTCTTTGCAGAGAAGAATCCAAGAAATCACCGTGCCTGAATTACTTGTTTAAAATTCAAGCTTTGCTTCAACTTAAACAATATGACAACATAAACTCGAGTGCAAACACATAATTAAAAATATCTGTTGAGAGATTAGTATTTAAAACTACTTTAAACAAATGACTTTTAGCATTCCCTCAAATTTTTCATTTTCGCCAATCCATACTGTTCCAAACGCAAAGCCACACACTTGCCACCATATCTCATAAACACCAATGAGGTGTCTCTGTCACAACAATCCAAGTCCCTTTTCAATGGACGCGTGCGTTGGCGATTAAGTGTTAAACATATCCACATACTGCGGCCTTTGCCCGGGGGTGCGCCGTTGTTGGAGAAAAGGCGGCTCTCTGCCAGGACCTTTGCCGCCGGCCTCAGCGGTAGGGATCTTTGGCGGCCCGGCCTTCACTAACGCCTCGCGTATCTTGTCCTCCTCGGACTGCGGGAACATCCAGCGGCCGGTGGCCTGGTCAAACTGTGGCACGGGTTTGGTGTTCAGAATCATCGGCTTGGCCGCATCGGGTTTGGGGCCCTGTGACAGGTCCCCCGCCTTCTCCCGGCGGAAGAAACTCATAAGGGCGTCCATGGAGAGGGACCGCCGAGGCTGAGCCCCTTTTGGGCCCCCTCCCCCCTCCCCACACGGCGGGTCCGAGGGGTCGGAGGTGGGAGGGTCCTGGAGGGGGGAGGGCGGACGAGGGGCCCCCTCCGAAGGGATGGAGCTCGGGAACGGGAGGGGCGGACGCGTGGCGCCCTCGGCCATCCCGGCGGGTTGTAATGGCCGATGGGCGGAAGTGGGGGGG